ACACATACACAACATACACACATACATACATGTAATTTATATATATTCTGCATATACTGCATTAAATGTATATTATTTGTTTTATTTGTTAACTTTTTCAGTCTTTTGTATTTTTTACTAATAACTATTACACCTCAGCTTCTACACTTTGCCACATGGACTGCTGGATAATTGTCTGCTGTGAAGTTCACACTAGTGAGAGCCTGACAAAAGGCTGCATCAAGGACAAATATCGGCCACAAAGGTGGAGCTTGTGAACACCCATCTGAAACCTAAAATGACAACTGTGACACCCTGTGGGACAGTCCCTGAGCCCGCAAGCCCTCATCAAGTGTGTCATTTGGGACATGTGTGGGCAAAACAGCCTTTAAAGGGATAGTTCATCCAAAAATTCTTTATTCTATGCACACGCTCGTCTGCCGCTTTAAATTCTCGAGCTTGTTATAGCAGGATGGATTCTGATTGAGTGTCAATGTTTTTATCGTTCATCAGCTGGAAAAAAATCGTTCTGAAAGTGATTCCAACGATATCGTTTCTCTCTGCCTTTATCGTTATAGCTGTAGTGTGGACTCTGCTATTCTTTAATATTGAGAACGATTTTTAGAACTATTTCTTTATCGTTATCTTTATAGTTATTGTCCTAGGTGTGAACGGGCCTGTAAGGTCCCACATATGGGATTTAGACTGTTCAGTGCCACATAACTGCCAAATTCAAACTGTGCTTTTGCGCTTTTTGCTGGCATTGAGACACGCTCTGCATTTGTCATATAATCACAACTATGCAGTGTTTTTAACCGCATAATGTTTAGTTTAGGCCATGCACTGAACGCGCTCTCCTCCACATCACGAGTAGACACGCCCCTTATTGCTGATTGGCTACAAGTTTGTTTTGCGATTCGGCCCGAATCAGTTTTTAAAGCATTTTTGAAAAATCCCTCACTCTGCCTTTAAATACACATACGTACTAGTAAAACAATACATTGAGTTTCTAAAATACACACGGATGTCTATGGAAGCAGCAATAACAACCCATTGAAATGTAATTTGTCACGGTGTTCTATTCTTATCAGATACACATAGTGTAAGTAACTATAAAGTTCACTAAATTCTTCTCCCAGTTCACCAGCCACTTACTTACATGTATTTCAGGAGAAACTGATTAATTTACGTGCTGTAAATCCGACTGACAGGACTCTCTGAACTACAGCGCGAATGAACATGGCGGCACCCATCTCACGTTATAGATCACGGTCAAGATCATTTATAAAGTTTTTTAAACGACAAGAATCGGAATATCAGATATTGAGGACATGGTAAGCAAGTGTGTGAATATTTTGAATAAAAAAAGGAAAAACTAAATAAAAGTGATACATCTGTCATATAGTGTTTTCGTGGCTGCGGTGTGTCATGTGACAAGCATGACGCATCTTCATGGAAACAATAAAGGGAAACGCTCTAAAACAAAGGTCGCCTTAAAAAAAACTCACTCTGGGGAGTCAGCTAGAATATTTTAAACTCACCAGTGAAAGGGTTAATTACCCTCATGTCACTCCAAACCCGTAAGACCTTCGCTCATCTTCGGAACACAAATTAAGATATTTTAAGAAAAATATCCATATTCAAAACGTAATAATCACTTTAATGTAGCTTGCGCCAACAGTTGTACACGGCAGCAGTTCCGGGTGGATGACCTCTGAGGTCAGCGCTGCGCATTGGCCTTTGTTCACCCCCGGAGCCGTGTGAGACATTTTTTTAATGGATGGGCGCTTTTTATTTAACTTCTTTTGGACTGATGCAGGCAACACCCGCTGAGTGCCATGAAACAGCTTGAAAGATCAAAGACCATTTTTAATATAACTCTGACTGGATTCGTCTGAAAGAAGAAAGTCATATACACCTAGGATGACTTGAGGGTGAGTAATTTATGGGCTAATTTTCATTTTTGGGTGAACTAACCCTTTAAGGTTGAACCGCTGATGTCACATGGACTATTTTAAGGATGTTCTTACTATCTTTCTGGGCCTTGAACGTGTCACTTGCATTGCTGTCTATGCAGGGTCAGAAAGGTCTCGGATTTCATCAAAAATATCTTAATTTGTGTTCAGAAGATGAACGAAGGTCTTACAGGTCTGGAGCGACATGAGGGTGGGTAATTAATGACAGAATTTTTGGGTGAACCATCCATCCCTTTAACATGATGACCCCAGTGAATCAGTCAGTGTAATTACACCTTTATAGCTATCACAGTTTATACAATATGTAAAGGACTCTTATTTTGACATGGGTTTGTTCTGTTGTTTTTGTCCTTACTGCCTGCGTTTAGTTCCTGTTTTCTATGTTACCACTGTGTCTAGCTGGTTGTCATGATTATTGATTACTTTCCCACCTGTACCTTGTTGTACTCCTCATTGTATTGTGTATTTAATTCTTCTTCAGATTGCTCACATTTTCAGCTATTGTCTAAATGCATGTGTTTAGCTTATTTTTGTAAATAAACATTGCACTGCACTCAGATCCACCTCTCCTCGTCTTTGTCTGACCCACGCTGTGACAATAAAATTGTTAGCAGTGCTAGAAAACAGCACATACTTTGATTATTTGTTATATGACATTTTACTGGATTTCCAAAGCATTATAAATGGACTGTCTAGACTTTATACCATTTTACATAGGTCTACAAGTTGGCGTCTTTCACCATAAAGTGGGTTAAGGGAGACTGATGTAGGATCAGTGTGTAAGTGCCCTGGGCATTGTGCCATGCACCTGGCACGGCCCCCACTGAGAGAGTGGCCACAACACAGACCTGCTGTCTCTGTGCACTGCACCCAATCAAGGCAGGCTGCCAGGACAGACACGGCTCTGTCTACCCGGCCTTCACTTACTGCTCTCATCAAGGTCAATACCTGACCCCACAGTATAGAAAGAGAGAGAGAGGTCAGCTTTCTATTGCATTGTCTTTTGTAGCAGAACACAAACCAAACATATAGCGCAACAGTTTAATTCACAAACAAATCACTTGATTTGTTTTTAGGAATCATTCAAATGATTTTCTGGATCAGACTGAATCAGTGAGAATACTCACTGAATACTTTTTTAAAGCAATACCAAACATTAGTAGTTCATCTCAAAACCTTTTCCTAGTTAACACATGAATGATATGCTTTCAAAAAAATAATGTTAAAATAAAAACATTATTTAAATATAAACAATGCTAAAGGTTAAAGGTAATATAAAATAATGGTAAATAATGTTAATTAAAAAAATAATAATAGTCACATGTGTAATTACTAGGTTCAGCATGCCGCTCTGATCGTTTTCAATCATGTTTGAAGGTTCTGATCAATTTTTAGAAATACTAAAGAACAGAATATAACAGTTATGATGTCAAATTGACATTAATATTAAAAATAAATATTGCACAAAATCTATTAATTTAATCGCATTTGTTAACTTTTGCGGTACTATTACTAATTGAAACCTTTGAATTTTTATTTATTTTAAAGCATGCTTATGTATTTCTCCAAAAAATACTGAAAGTTCCCGTGGTGAGTGAAGTTCTGTACTGCTTATGTTTCAATAAAATAAAAATAAAAAATAAATAAAATAAAATAAAATAATAAAATAAAATAAAGCTTAATGTTGTATACATAGTGAAACTTAACCCAAACAAATATGGATATGTGGCAGGGGTGGTTGGTGCCCCGATTGGGAAAACAAAATCCTGTATGAAACGCTGCTGGAGAGAGAATCTTGCCAAATCGCTCTGTACACGGTGTGGGAGGCTGGTGTCTTTTGTTTGCAAATTTGATTTTTTTGGGGGAACGTAATTACCCTGATTTACATATTAATGTACTCATTTAACAATAATTATTTGTCCTTCAAGTCAATAGTACCAGCAAAGCCTCCAAAACCATTTTACAATCCCACTTGTTTAGTGACTAAATACTGCATTTTTTTTTACCATCATGATGACACGTTCTTGGCCTCGGGCCCAAGAGTGGCTCAATGAGCTGACAGCTGTGAAACATGATGCTAAGGAAGGTTGAGCATAACTCACATTTAGTCGGCCGCTCCAGTTTCCGTCTCCCTCGTTTCTTGCGAGGCAGAGTTGGCAGTGTCTCCTCTTCGTACTTCTCGGAGTCCTGGGATGGGCTCAGGCTTGAATCAGAGGCCGACTCGGCCCGACAGCCTGATTGGCGTGGGAGCCCGTTTTCCACAGCATTCTTGTCCAGCGTGGGGTGGCGACCTTGGCACGATTTGTTCTCATGCCTCTCAACATCTCCATTCTGGGACTGCAAAGACGACTGGAGCTCCACCCCTTTGTGCTGCTTAGCCACACCCACCAGCTGATCCACTGGCCCGTAACACTCCACCTGCGGCAGAAAATTACATAATCGGATTGGATGGTCATGCATCTATAACCTATTATTTAATCAGAAGCTCTGATAAACAATAGCAACTGCCTACGGCACAATAGATTCAATATTTGAATTAAATTTGCCCTCCAAGACACAATAAACCAAATTTACCATAACAATCCTCTTTTTATGATTATAAGCATCATTACTGTACCAATGTCGACATGCAAAAACAAAAAGCCCAAAAACCAGAAGTCAATAAAAAAAAAAAAAATACACTTCACTTACTCACTGAAAAATATGCACCAGAAGGGAAAAATTAATAAATAAATACAGAAACCAATATTTATTTTCCCCTCAAGTACATACATAGTGTAATATTTAATATTTTTATATTTTTAAAGTACCATTTAAATCAAATAATCAGATGTCATTCAACAACCGGCCTGACATCTTAAGTAAACAGTGATTAATTTGACATTAATTTTGAGCACATTAATTTTTCCAATCTTGTGAGTCTTTTAAATGATTCATTAAAAGCATCATTCATTCATGAATCAGACACTGTTTGCGCTGTATGTTTGTGTTTTGCATGCAGCCAATTGTTGTCGTCATAGGTTGTGCAGGGTTTTTAGATTCAGTGCCAGTGCTAAACAGTGCAGCATACGCTGAAATCTTATTTTGAGAATTTTATCATCTTGTAACATCTTCTACCTCTAACAAGGTAGAGGATGAGGATTTTAATAAAACTGTCATTAAAACACCCCCTCTTTTAATATAAACTACATTTCCAGAAGGGTTCCTGATAATAACAGCCATATACCTTTACTTACTTCAAAATGGTTATGAATCACAGAGCACAAATTAAAGAGGAAAACCCAATTTGCAGCATAAAGTCAAATCTTTCATTTGCAGTCTAGGCCTCGTCTTTCGTCTGCTCAGTATAAGGCCATTTCCTATGTTCTTGTGTTGACATCTAAACTACCTATCTGAACCATCTAATCTAATCTGAAACAGAGAAGACACGGAAGCTCTTCCTACACATTAAGTGTAATGTGAGTACAATGTTTCTATGCATCTGTCTACAAATATAGACAAAAATAGCACAATAACAAGCTACTTCGAATGCTACTGCAGTATGGGCATGGAGAGTAGAGCTTTAAAGCTTCGTAAACTATACAATTATCATAAAAGTGCCACTTTTCAAGTCCTCTGAAGTATTTGCTTTGTCTGCCTTCATGAGAAGAAATTATGTCAGATTCGTTAAAAAAAAAATCATTCTTTTGGGTCAGATTTTTTCTATAAATCAGATTATCCAGTTTACATAACCAATGTTTTTTAGAATTACTTATATACTATTTATTAGTATTTTGAATTAGTTCTCATTCCTATATTTAAGTTTTTATTTTCATTTAAGTTTTAATCATTTTTTATGTGCTTTTGCCATTTTATAATTTTTTTTATATTTTTATTTCAAAGGGTTTTTTAAAGTTTAAGTATTTTTCTTATATTTTTCTTCTAGTCAGCTTTGCTTTTCATTTTTATTTTCAATTAATGGAAACCTATTTTTACAGCTCTTTTATTTATAATTAACAACAATACTAATTAATTGCTCACAACACACTCATTTTTTTTCACTTAATGATCTGGTAACAACAAATAAAGCTCACTGAAGAGGCAAATTTTAAGCAAGTAAGGACTTAAATTTAATCTGTTCCACTATCAAATAACTTCAAAATGTTTGAAATAAAGCACACAATTCATGTGGACTACTTTCATGGTGCCATTTTGAAGCGTGAAAGCCTAATTTCCAATTTAATGTAATTGCATGGCATAGTACAAAAAGCACATTCTTAATAGTTTCTTCTTTGTATTTAAAAGGGAAAAAAAGTAATATTTTTTACAATTAAAATAACTGTTTTCTATTTTAATATATTTTAACATCTATTTTATTCCTGTGATGTTAAAGCTGAATTTTCAGCATACATTACTCCAGTCTTCAGTGCTACATGATCCTTCAGAAATATTTCTTAATATCATCAATGTTGAAAACAATTTTTTGTGTGGAAACAAAAATATTAAGCAGGTTTAAAAAATATTAAAGGGGTCCTATTATGCTCTTTTACAAAGTCTTGATTTTGTTTTGGGGGTGTACTAGAACAGGCTCTCATACTCGGTTGTTCGAAAAACACATTATTTTTCACATATTTTACATTATCACAACACCTCTCTCCCCAGTCTGGCATGAACGGCTCAAATAGTTCCTGTATCAAAAGAAGGCCCGCCTTCTGAAATACGAAGTGTGCTGTGATTGGTTAACTGAGACAGTGTGTGTTGTGATTGGCAGCACTCGGCGCCTGGTCGGGAAATGTCATGCCCCTTACCATAGCCGCCTGCCAGCTTCAGTGTAAATATTGCGTCAAAATCAAATCAATTTGAGCGCGATTTAAACCCGGATGATTGTAACCACTCTAAGTTCGTCTGCCTTGGGAAAGCTAGCGTGTCTCCGACATAGTGTTAACACTCGTTGCCTTCTCTAGTGCAGCTCAACCAGGTCTCGTCCCATTCGTCGGTATTTGTGATATCACAAATCCCGGAAAATATGCGTTGTAGTCCAAACGAGTCGTTCGTTGTAGTTTTTGAAAAGTGATTTCTGTTGTATAAAATAATAAAATATCTCCTTTTGAAGTGGACTTTGAGCTTTGTAACTTTGCAGATCTTTTTTTATGCTCAAACAGCAACATTACAGACTAACTAGAGTTGAAAAAGCATAATAGGACCCCTCTTTAAACAGGATTCTATGAAGTTCAAAAGAACAACATCTATTTGAAATAGAAATCTATTATATTATAGATGTCTTTACTGTCTCTTCTGATCAATTTAATGCATCCTTGGTGAATAAAACTTTTACTATCTTACAAAAAAAATGTTTAAGTGTATACAATAATAAAAATGCCATCAAGCCACCTCGACTACACAAAGGCCCTGTGCAGTATGTCTATACATCCTGCACAGTCATTAATCTACAACCTCTACATACATCGCTCATCGGCTTAGCATGTGCACGGGAAGCCAGACTGAAACGAGAGGCTGGCGATACAGAGACAAACAGACTGGGAGCCCGCAGAGAGCTAAACCGCCAATCTGACAGTGGCATTTCTTTTAGAGGAGCAGCTGCCGCTTCGCCTCGCTGCCTCGGGATGTCAAAGCCATTCTCATGAAAGAGAGACTGAACAGTGATCTGACACAACACAACCGTTACTCTACTCTTGTGAGAGGAAAGACATAATCTCCCAAACAGCTGCTGGATTGTTCATTCTCAATCAGGAGCGTTTGTGTCGTGATGATGACAGAAGATTTAAAACAGTCAAGTTGTTCAACAGCATACCTTTGATGATCTAACTTGTCGTAGCAAGACTCTGGGTGACTCTGGAAAATTTGACTAAAAACAGGGTTACAGCGTCCTGCAGCCCACAAATGCTGGATTCTTAGTGTTTATTCGACATTACAGAGGGGAGGTGGTATGGGAGGAATGTTGTCCCATTTGTCTGAAGAGAGTCAGTTGGCGCTGTGAGAAAAACGTTTTTAAGACCCCTGAAGTCTCTTTAAAAAGTACATACAGTACAATGTATTACAGTCCATTAGTGCGACTATTACTGCTGCTTATAGTTACTATTAGGGATTTGAACAAATCATTAACTCTGAGAATTAAACAACTATTCACGCACAGATATGATACGATACTCAAATCTTTTGACTTGTTGAGGAGAAGTATAATATTATTTTGTAGTGATTTATGGACTTATTTAT